TTATCCAGCTGGAGCAACAGAGGGTGATCGATTATCCTAGCTGACACTGGGCAAGAGGGGAGGTACACAGACAACAATTACTATTCCTCCACACCTCTGACCAATTTGGAATCATCAATTAAACTAAAACACTCGTTTCTGTTAGGAACTGGGAAAAAATTCAATCTCCACACCTCTAAACCACCCGTGTGCCATCCTAAAGAGATCACACACAAAAACAGCATCAGGATGCATCGTCTGGTGTCTGGAGTGCAAGACAAAAACAACCGAGTGGGATGGATACAGCACCACAGCTCACTGCTGCACAAACACGGCTTCGTGGCCATGCCATCAGGACAACGCAAATGTTTCGTCTTGTCACGATCACATTTATTCTGATTGTAGGGATGCGATCTAATTATTTTTCCCGACATTTTCTCTATCTTAAACGGTTCTGTCAAAAAATAAATAAATAAATATTGAGAAAAAGAAAATTACGTCTGGTGGAAACGACAGCAGATAATGCTAACATGTCACCAGGCTGCCAAAGTTCTATACAGAACGACAGTTCGCTGAATAGTTTCCTGTAAACTTTGAATACTTTTTACTTTAAAAGTATTTTCTCGCTGCAAAAAAAAAAAAAAAAAGATACACATAATAATCTTAAAGTCTAGTAATGAACCTAAATGGTAGATTTCTGCAGAGTGACACCTTCCAAACCTTTTAGTCAGAGAAATATTCATTAATCCGTTATGACCTTATAGTAATTATAGTAATCCACTCTTTCCAAAGCAGACTTTTAGCAGAAGCGGTTCTTATTCTGGGCGTCAAATATGCTAACGCTAGCATATTTGACGTATAAAGCCTTCTTCACATTTCTGAATTCACAGCATGACAAACTGGCCCAGCTGTCACAGGGAGAGAGGAGTTATTGCAGAGAAACGGCGTTCATTCATGCTCCCAATCACACTTTCAGGCACTTTAGAAGCACAAATGAAACTAAAGCACAGGTCGTTGGGCTGTGGGATGAAAATCCCACGTTAGCGCAGGAAGAATATGCAAGCATCGTACATCTGATCCCCAACAATCCTACTTATGTTCTGGGTAAGATGGTGAACATCTATCGCCGTCAGTTTGATTCACAATACCTCTGCTTATGTTTTCCTAAGTGAACAAAATGGACTAGTCCCATTATTATTAACATTTAAGACATTTTTTAAATGCATTTCTCCTGAGGACCATTTAGCTCTGAGCTTCAATCCACATTGTGATCATCAATGTTCAATCAGACTTTTTTCCTGGGCGCTTGAGTTATTTTTGGAAAAAGCCACCGCACTTCACACGCCCTCATTTGGCATTGAATTTTTCATTCATCCCTCTTTGAAATTCTTGACACAATTTTCACCCGAAGAAGATCTTTTTATTACCGGTGCTTTATCCTTGTTGGTTCATGATTGTTTTTTAAAAGTGCAGGTTTGATCATTCAGCCCACATTTTCCTCGGCCCGACCGTGTCGTACCTGAGAAACTAATTAAAGCACCCGGAGCTATTCGGCTCAAATGCACCATTCATTTTATCCAATCCCTGCGAGTCGCTGCTGAGACTGTGCATGCTGATTGTAGTCAGCTCTCATCCTCACCCGGTGCTGTTAAGGAAAGTCATCCCCGTGGTGCAACTCCTGGACATCGATGATGGATGGAACCAAAAGGCAGGGGTGCACTTGCCGTCCGTCCGTCTCTCAAAGCCGTAATCGCTGCAACGATCAGACAAAACAGACGCCGTCATTAAATCGGGACATGGAGGAGACAGCGTTTGGAAAATTCAATTTGAAAATTAGATAAAGGCTGTTACAAGTGTGACACCTGCTTAAAAAATGGCAGATAATACTCACAGGGAAATCAATCAAAAGTTAATAAAATATTCTAAACCGAAAGAGGCTCCACATTGTAAGATCATTTCAGATTGAAATTCAACATGGAAACTTAATGTCATCTAAGTATCGACTTCAAAGGAGCC